CTGTAGTACAGGACAGCACTCCCGCCGTTTTATGTAGTGTAGAACGACACTACAGTCGCTATCTTCCATGTAAAATGACAATACAAACATTATCTATTATGGTCTGTCCGTTCTTGATAATACATGTGGTTAATTTGATAATTTAAATATGATAGCTATTTTCATATTAGTTTGATATATAATTGAGGAAACTATTTAACTTTTTTATTTTATTTGCAACTATGGATTCTATAAAAATGATATGGGTACGGGTATGCTATTTTGTTGAGTTTAAAAAGACTGAAAAAGGCAAATGGGCATGGAGTTATGTGGGGAACATTGAAGAAAATGTAGATATTCTTTATGTTCCAACTAGCAAGGTGATACGACCGTTGACACGAAAAGGAAGTAGACGTCCACAAAAAAAAAGGGAAACAATCAGCCGAAAAGATGCGCAAGTCTCGTGAGTATAGTAGGTGTTTGAAAATTGGACATAACCCGTATCACTTGTACAGATTGTGTACCACTCATCGAGAGACGTGAATGATGAAGACAAGACGGTACATATGAGGCTTTTATAGTGTTATGATGTACCGCTTTTGTAATATTGAAAAAGGATGGTGGTGTTATGTCACGATGTACTACTTTTGTAATTTTGAAAAACAAACTAATTATAATGTTTGGAAGTGATTGTAATGGTCTTAGACTCGATGAAGCCAGAACGACAGTTATGATGCTTTTTTTGTTACACTAAAATGTAACTGGTGCTGTAACGACACTTGTGCCTTAACGACACTTGTGCCGTTTTCAGAACAGGAGCGGTAGTTGTGTCGTTTTCTTTTTCATGTCGATTAAGTATTGAGCATATCTACCCTAGTTGTAAGAAGTATATCCATCCTACAACTTAAATGAGTTCATCTAATCGAATATCGTGGCTCGAATAGGTCGTAGCACTCTGTACAAGTGTTTCCAGGCAGAACGACACAAATGTCGTTTTATCGATAGTAACGTCACTTGTGCCGTTCTCATGGAAATTTATTTACTACATAACGACACCTGTGCCGTTCTAGTAGTTCTCATATCAGTAACGATACAAGTGACGTTCTCAATATTTCATCAAGTGTCATTCAAATTATCGTTATACTTGTAAAAATAATGATAGTCATACCATTCTAATAAATGTTCTCTTTCCAGGCAGAACGACAATTGTGTCATTTTCTTTTTCATGTCAATTAAGTACTGAGCATATCTCCCCTACGTTGTAAGAGGCATGTCCATCTTACAACTTAAACGAGTTCATCTAATGAGTTCATCGTAGCTTGGATGGGTCATGGTGCTCTGCACAGGTGTTTTTAGGCAGAACGGCACAAGTGCCGTTAAACGACACTTATGTCTTTCTGTTGATTTCATCAATATTTTTCTACTTTTCTAGCCGAACGACCTCACAAATTCGACCCACTAACTTAAGAAGGCTGAAAATGTTGATTAGATGACAATTAACGGCGGAATTGATGTAAAATATGTGGTATTGAACGGTGAAATCACACAAATCTACATTAATTTTGTTTGAAAGTATAAGCGTTGAGCATATCTCCCCTATGTTGTAAGAGGTGTGTCCATCCTACAACTTAAATGAGTTCATCTAATGAGTTCATTGTGGCTCGGACAGGTCATGGCGCTCTGTACAAGTGTGTTCAGGCAGAACGACACAAGTACCGTTAAACGACACTTGTGTCGTTCTGTTGATTTCATCAATATTTTTCTATTTTTCCGGCCGAACAACCTCACGAATTGGACCCTCTAGCTTAAAAAGGCTGAAAATGTTGATTATGTGACAACTAACGGTGGAATTGATGTAGAATATATGGTATTGAAAGGTGAAATCACACAAGCATACATTGATTTTGTTTGAAAGAATAAGCGTTGAGCATATCTCCCCTACGTTGTAAGAGGCATGTCCACCCTACAACTTAAATGAGTTCATCGTAGCACTTAATACACTTGTTCAGAGGCAGAACGGCACTTGTGCCGTTTTCTAAACAGTAACTGCAGTTGTGTCGTTTTCGTCTTTTTTTTAATTAAGTAATGACCATATTTATTGAATGTTGTAAGAGGCATGCCCATCCTGCAACCAAAATGAGTTTCGCTTATCGATTATCGTGGTTCGAAAAGATCGTGACGCTTAATACACTTGTTAAGAGGTAGAACGATACTTGTGCCGTTTTCTAAACAGTAAAGGCAGTTGTGTCATTTTCGTCTTTCTTTTTTTTTTTGATTAAGTAATGACCATATCTATTGAATATTGTAAGATGCGTGCCTATCCTGCAACCAAAATGAGTTCAGCTTATCGATTATTGTGGCTCGGAAGGATCGTGGCGCTTAATACACTTGTTCAGAGGCAAAACGACATTTGTGCCATTTTCTAAACAATAACGACAGTTGTGTCATTTTTGTCTTTCTTTTTGATTAAATAATGACCATATCTTTTTTATTTGCTTCCAACATAATGACCTCGAGCAATGAACACGTGATAAAGAACTGTTGAATTGATATAAATTATAATGGACTCTTATAAGTTAATAACGACACTTGTGCTATTCTCAAGAGCATTTTTCTTACATTTCTGGGTCGTGGCTGCTTATAAGTGAATC